GTATGATTTAAAAGTCCCATTACCCAGCTGAGATCTCTTGCCCAAAACAAGAAAAACAAAACTGGTAAAATAATGAAAATATTACTTGTTCTAGACATGTAGCAGTTTATTAGGTTTAAAGTACACAGATGGTAATGGCAACACATTTAATCAGCAGTGTTTGCCAATTTCATGTATTAATATTTCAAATGCTGAATCCTACACAAGTCATGGCAATTAGCATTTTCAGATTTTACTAATGATTTATATAATTAGTAATCACCATCTTTAAAAGAATATTTTTTTAAACTTTCCATTGTAGATCACAGCACGCTGCATTCTTATTTCACATCTGACTACAATGACATCAATCTATAGTTGTTAATTGGTTAACACCTTTCTGAATCCAAAAGTAAATACTGATTTTGGAAATTGTAAATAACTTCTCAAATGCCAAGTCATTTACCAATTGTGGGAAAATATATCTGCACATTTAAAAAAAAAAAAATAATAATAATAATAATGGCAAGGCCACATCTGAAATAAGAAATACAGAGTTATGTACCAATTCCCAAAAATGGTATTATAGAAAATAATAAATCTGAAGTCAAGTATTCATAAACAAAATAGGAATTGCAATGGTGCAGGGCTAATAATATTGCTATTGTTTAGCCATTACACAACAAAAATCCTTATGAAAATGTAGGGCCCCACACAATTGTTATGGTACTTAATTATGCTCCGTGTTCTTGGTCTGAGTAATAGACTTATAGATTAATTTCATAAAGATTGCAATTTGTCCGATCTGGGCCAATCAGCTAATCGTTTGAATTCCCGATCACCAAGACGGAATATTACTAAATCATGAAACAAGTGAAACACCCAATGGTCGAGCATGTTCATTTTTATTCATGATTCTGAATTCTGCCCGTGGAACCAAAATAAGAAACGATGAAAGGGAAAGAAAACAGTGGTTTATTAAGGGGACAGACACTAAATGTTGATTTGATTTGTGTAGTAGTGACCAACAAAGGGTAAAAAAAAATATGTAACACTTTTATATATTATATATTTTATCAACATAATATATACATATAGATGTTTTACTGAACCTTATAGTTTTTCCTCTATTGGCTACTTTTTCTCACTTGACCTGTGCTTTGGTTATTTTCAGCAGAAAAGTTTTGGTCAAAACCAATGTTTCCGTTTTAAGTTTACTGCGCGTTACACAAATGTGCATTATTTATGACATTTCTGATGCTGGACATTGCTCCTTTATGCCCTCTGATGCAATATTCAACATTTCTAAGGGGCTGCACTACTATGTCATTTTCACTCCACTTGCATTTTTAGCTCCGACAGAATGACGCTGGCCTATACAATTCATGTACCGACTGTAGTAGTTGTAGTTCTATGCACACTCTCCCAGCTATGGTTTTTAAAAAGTGAGGGTGCATTTTTTTTTTATTGAGTATTTCTAGTATTGCCTTCTGGCTCATTACCTGACTATTTTACATTTTGTTATCCTAGGCACTGGCTATTCCAGCTCACATTATTGTGCTTCTGGTATCATTAAAGGAGCACTATAGGGTCAGGAACACAAACATGTATTCCTGACCCTATTTAAAATCTTACTAGCTCTGGCTCTGTTTCCTTTAGACCTGCCCACTGCCTGCTGACATCAATAGAAGTGGTAGCCTGATCCAATCACAATGCTTCCCCATAGGATTGGCTGAGACTGACAAAGAGGCAGATCAGAGGCAGAGCCAGCATGATTCAGCCCTGGCCAATCAGCATCTCCTCATAGATATTAATTGAATCAATGAATCTCTATGAGGAAAGTTCAGTGTCTGCATGCAGAGGGTGGAGACACTGAATGTTTGGATGCATTTTAGGCAGCCATGACCCAGGAAGGATCTCTAACAGCCATCTGAGGAGTGGCCAGTGAAGTTATCACTAGGCTTTAATGTGAACACTGCATTTTCTCTGAAAAAACAGTGTTTACAGCAAAAAGCCTGAGGGTAATGATTCTACTCACCAGAACAAATTCAATAAGCTATAGTTGTTCTGGTGACTAAAGTGTCCATTTAACTTTGGTTTATTCTCCTGTGTGTCTCACCTTTCTGTAAGTACTTGTATAATTTCTGGCAATAAGACTGGTAACTTGCTCAGTCCTACCCTTTCTATCCTATCCTATTCTTAGACTGACCCAGTTGGGCATACATAATCCTGACAATAAACAGCTCTCTGATGGCTTGTTTATGATCAGATCTGTACTAAGAACACAACATCATCGCTAAAAGTTTTGAAAACCTATAACAATGAAAACAATTTTGCCCAATAAGGACACTAACGATATGGAATTCTATACTTGAAGAAAATATGCTGCATATTTAATATAGCTATATTCAATCGCTCCAAAGTGTGAAGGTAGGGTTTTGTCTTTCTTTTGGAATAACCTCAAAAACAGGGCTATGTGAAGAGTTTTTATTTAGTCCAATGATTTAGGGCTTACAAATCATATCTTCAAAAAGTAAATATGTATTTATTTTATCTTGTTTATTCCTTCTTTGTTCTATTTTTATTTTTTGTTTTTTAATTTTATTTAAAAAAAAATATTTTCATTTTGAATATTATCTAATTTTCAAAGAAATATTTTGTAAATCTTATACATAGCTATGCATATTGTTTTTACTTTACTCCCCCAACTGTTCTACTCTCTGATTCATTATTTAATTGTGTATACTTGTAACTGTAATTGTGATGTATCTTGGTAAATGGAGCAATGCACAGTTTCAATGAGGCTATCAATACAACCGGGTTCGCCTCGCGAGGATTTGCTGATTGTAACGTGGCTGACTTTATAGCTGTGTATTCCACAGAGGAAAACAATGTGCATCCTTCCATCTATTTTTGGCATTCTTTTCTATCTTTATATGCGTCAGTTTATATCCTCAGTATAATATATTTATGTAGTTTTTAGTTGTAGTTTTAGTTAATTTTACTGTTTATTTTTGTATGGTTTAACTGTTAATTATTTTGCTGTCGTAAAAAAAAGGAAGATTTTTTTATTACGTGTTATTTTACTGGTTTATGCGTTCCACTGTGGAATGCAGTTCTAGGGGCAAGATAAAGGTTTGTAGAGAACAGATGTCCCAGAATGTCTCCACAAGGTGAAGGCTTGGAGGATATCAGCATTCCAATTGGTGGATGGTTAAACAACATAACAGCTGCAATCATAGGCAAGGAAAGTAGGAAAAAGCCTGGAAATCTCATACTACAAAAGACATTTTCTTTTTGTCTGTCTAATTCTGAATAAATCTGGACTAAAATGAGATGTGTTGTATGAACTGGAAAATCTGATTTTACTGGGTTTTAATCTTATGTCCTAATAGCATTGTTTAAGGCGCTTTTTATATGTGTTAAGTCCCTTAAGTTTATTCTTCAACACATCTGTGTCTATGGTTGGTCCAAAAGTAGGGGGTTAAAAAGACCAGTTCAAAACCATTTCTAATTATGTCACAAAATAATACAAAAAAACTTTTTGATTCTAAAATGGCAATCAGATATCTTTAATGGCAATCAGATATCTCATTTTAAATACACATTTCTTCCAGACCTTTTTGAAAATTATTTACAGCATCCGATAAAATGACCTATTTGTGAAGAATTCCATATCTCTATTGATCGTACTGTCTATTTACACCTTGTCCCAGTTTCTATGGGATGATACACATGGACAATGTCATTTTTTATGTTTTGGTCTGCAAGAAATACTTGATATGTGTGATATTTACTACTATCAATTCTCTGTCTAGTGAGTTGCTATTATAAAAGAAGAGCCATATTTACGTCTCAAGAAAAATTACCCTATATGTTTTTGTTTTTTTGTTTTGTTTTGGTGTTACAGTTTCATGAGTCTTTTCACATGTTTTTGTTTATATATACAGATAGATAGACAGACAGACAGACAGGTGGGAAGATGAGGCTTTAATGAAAGAGTGAAGAAAAGAAAGTGGAAAAAAATCTAATGGATTTTAATTTGTAAAGCGGGTAGGTAAATGAAGGACCAGATTCAGACTGTATATCAAAGATGAACCAACATAAATGACTCAAGAACAGGAACTTCAAAAGGAGTCATTATGTACCATCCCTCCAGATAAACAGATAGGTAGGCAGAAAGACAACACGAAAGACAACTCATCTTACATTTATCACCATTGCATAATCTGTTCTCTTCTGCTTTAAGTTCTCAATGTCTTTCATTGCTGTGATGAGAAGAGGAAATCATGTGATTTTTATATTACAATCATCCCATTGCCACTCATATAACAAAATATTTTACATGCAGGCCCGGACTGGCCATCGGGCACAGCGGGCAAATGCCCGGTGGGCGGCGGTGGCCATGGGCCGAGGCCGGCAGGGGAGGTCCCAGGATCTCCCCTGCCGGTCTATGCAGGGCCGGCACTCTCCTAGCGCCGGCCCAGCTGTTTGCCACGACGGGCCGGTGGGGAGATCAAAGCTCTCCCTCACCGGCCCACATGCGGCCGCCGGCGGGGAGGGAGTGAGACATACAGCCGCCAGGAGAGGAGGACCTGGCGGAGCTCTAACTTGCAGCTCCGCCGGGTTCCTCTCGCGAGATCTGGCACGTTGCCATGGCAACGACCGGATCTCGCGAGAGTGAACTCTAGCCTCACAGGCTAGAGTTCACTCACCCACGAGGACCACCAGGGAACACCGCCTCCCCGCCTGCCAGTCCCAGCGTGCCGGTCCCCCCCTCCCAGGCTAAAGGTAAGAAGGGAGGGGGGACATAGTGTCTGTTTTTTGTTTGTTTTTTATTTACCCCCCCTACACACACACACAATAACATTTATACAGCACTCTCTCACCCATCACACACAGAACTCTCACATCCATCACACACAGCACTCTCTCACACAGCACTCTCACACCCATCACACACAGCACTCTCACACCCATCACACACAGCACTCTCTCACACCCATCACACTCACAACACACTCTCACACACACACAGCACTCTCTCACACAGCACTCTCACACCCATCACACTCACAGCACTCTCTCACACAGCACTCTCACACCCATCACACTCACAGCACTCTCTCACACAGCACTCTCTCACACCCATCTCACACAGCACTCTCACACAGCACTCTCACACCCATCACTCACACACCCATCACTCACACACGGCACTCTCACACACATCACACACACCGCACCCCTCACACACACACACCGCACCCTCACACACACACATACTGCACCCCTCACATACACACAGAACCCCCCCAACACACTGCACCACACACATACACAATACTTCCATATATATATATATATATATATATATATATATATATATACACACACACACACACACACACACTACACTCTTAAAGGACCACTCTAGCCACCCAGACCACTTCAGCTTAATGAAGTGGTCTTGGTGCCAGGTCCTTCTAGGGTTAACCCATTGTTTTATAAACATAGCAGTTTCAGAGAAACTGCTATGTTTATCAATGGGTTAAGCCTTCCCCCAAAGCCTCTAGCAGCTGTCTCATTGACAGCCGCTAGAGGCGCTTGCGTGCTTTTCACAGTGAGAGCACGCAAGCGTAGGAAAGCATTATAAATGCTTTCCTATGCGACCGGCTGAATGCGCGCGCAGCTCTTGCCGCGCGTGCGCATTCAGCCGACGGGGCGGATCGGAGGAGGAGAGCTCCCCGCCCGGCGCTGGAAAAAGGTAAGTTTTAACCCCTTTCCAGAGCCGGGTGGGAGGGGGTCCCTGAGCCACATATGCATCACATTACACCACAAACACAACACGACTAAAACCGACCTTATTACACAATACCACACCACGACCAGCTCACTCTACACACACGCAATACCACAAGCAGGCTCTAAACACATGCACAATACTCTTTCCTGGCCTTTTGTCTCCTGGTATCCATTTATAAAGACACCAGAGACAAGTTGCAAGGAAACACAGTGCAAGCATGTTATTAAATTTGCTTGCACTGTGCAGAACAAATACAGGACTTTTTTCTCATGCTATAGAGCTCTTCAGCAGAGCTCCGCGCATGGTCTGGCCTGGAAGAGCATTGAACCAACATGCTCACTTTGAGAGGAGGCGTGTTTGTCATTGGTGATGACAAAACACACCTCCTCTGCCCCGCCCCCTTTTTAGTGGGCCGCTGTGTTAAAAAAGTGCCCGGGCCGAATTTTTCTCCCAGTCCGGCCCTGTTTACATGATATATAGATGTGTGTGTGAATCTCCAACCTCTCCAAGACCATAGGGAACCAATTCAATTGCATAAATCAAGTTAAACATGCAAAACTACTCTCAACTTCTCTCTAAAACTTCCCTGAACTTTACTTGATGCCTGTACATTGATGTACTTAGTTTTTTTGCACAAAGCTGTCATTTCTCCAGTTTCTATCTCTAGATTGTGAAATGTTAACAGGTCGCCGTTTCTTTCACAACTATGTGGCTTAATGATTAGGAAATTGTTCCTAGTTCCTGAGATACAGATGAAAAAACATGATGTATGGTGACACTTGTCCTCAAGACACAAAGGAATTCCGTTCCTCTAAAATAATAGACGTTAAATTGAAGGAAGTATAGATATTTTTGACTGTAAACTCTAAGCTGGTCACATTGTTCTATGCTCTGGCTTTTTGTCAAAGATGAAGCCCGGATTCTCGTTTGAAGCACTCACATTTATTTAGTTTAAAAGAATGATGCTTTAAAAAGATGTTTACAAAGGATTCCCATAGTTTCTACATCCTACAGACTGTGGAGAATATGCTTTTCCATCAATAACATGCCAACTCGCCTTATTAATGTTTAACTGAGGGGGACACCCTAACAAGCAAACAGTGATCTAACTTCCAGCAATTCATCACATGTAATTACCTTTACTCATTAAAAACAAAGCTGGATCCTGCTGTATTTTCCGTTACAATCATGAACTGTACTGTTCCTCAAATAACTCATTCAAACAAGCCCTATTCTTCAAAAAACAAATGGGTCTTCAAATTTCAACTGTTTTTACAAAGGGAGATGAAATTCCTAGAGTTCGTTAGTTTTTGTACAGTTAAACGGCGAGGCATCACACTAATCATTTTTTTTTTGTCTTACATGAACATTTTATTGATATCTGTTCATAGATTCATAAAAAGATTGTTTGTAGAGCTTTGATGAGATATTGGTTCATCGCTTATAATTATTTTGTTGACTCTTTGTCTTCTTGGTTATTTTAAAATCTCTGCGATATCAATGTTGTTCTGCATACTTACAAAATATTTTCAAGGGATAATAATACATATGTATAATAATAATGTGATAACACTACAGAGTTCATACACTATGAAGAGAATTATAGCAAATTGGAAATCTAATTATTTTATTTAAAAAGAAAAACATTATGTTGCAAAAACTATTTTTTAACCCCTTGAGTACTGAATAGGTGAGTACAGCTGGCACTTAGGGGGTTTAATGGACTAAATAGAGCATGATTCCATCATTCAGTAAGTGTTTTTTTTGTTTTTTTTTACTGCACCCAGAGGAACATCCTGATGTCACTCTTCCCCTTTTAATAACTAACAAGGTGATAATAATGCTTCTGTGGATTGCACCCCTGGAGACCAGTATTTTGGATTCGATAATCTAGCAAGATTCTCACATCCTCGGGAAGCATTTTGCTGCAGGCTTTTTGCAGGATCTTGCTATTGATTGTTAACTCTCTTGAGCACTTTTCATACTTTATTCAAAAGTGTTGCAGTCTATGTATGCAACAGGACATTAAGGAGGTATTGACAGGACATTTTCTTTGCTCCATTTTGGAAAACATGTATACATACATATTACATGATCTGATTGTGATTTCAATACGTAGATCACGTTTTCAAACTCCATATTGCACAAATGGTGACGGCATCTGTGTAATGAAAGGTTAATAATGCAGGGATCCCCTCCGTGCAGTCTGGGGGCCCGGATGTCCTGTTTGGACAGAGATTAGTGGGAGTTGCACTCTCCACTTTTATGATGGCAGCTAAAAAAGCTGCCATCCAGGATCCACTCCTACTAATCTCAGGCCACACTGAAACATGTATGTTTTAATGCTATCTGTACAATAAAATCCCCCCTAAACTACATTCACACAATAACTAAACAATAACTCATAACCTGCACTATCCCTAAACATCCATCTCTCTACATCACACTATAATTTAAGGCGGCACTGTCGCAACAAACGTACGTTTTCCCAATTGTTTTCTTTTTCTCTTCCTCGCTCAGAATCTGTTCTTCTTTTCTTTATTTCTGATCTAGTTTTAGTTAAAACACAAGGCAAACTTTGTCTTATGTATTTTTCCTACGCTTGACTTTCTATGACTGAAGGAGGAGCTTAAGTAAGCTGAACTTCCTCTGTCAAAGAAACTTTTCCCACAATACTTTTCCCTCCCATGTGTTCTCACATTGCGTGTGTCTGTGTGTAGCATAAGGCTATCCTAACTATAAGATAAGACTAGGGACTAATGAAAGTATTTAGAAAATTGGGCAGACTAGATGGGCCGAATGGTTCTTATCTGCCGTCACATTCTATGTTTCTGTGTATGACTGTCTGCCTGTGTGTATGTGTGTGTGTGTGTGACTGTCTGTGTGTGTGTATGACTGTCTGCCTGTGTGTATGACTGTCTGTGTGTGTATGGCTGTCTGCCTGTGTGTGTGTGTGTGTCTGTGTGTGTGACTGTCTGCGTGTTTGTGTGTGTCTGTGTGTATGACTCTCTGCCTGTGTGTGTGTGTATGAATGTCTGCCTGTGTGTGTGTGCGTGACTGTCTGCCTGTGTGTGTGTGTATGACTGTCTGCCTGTGTGTGTGTGTGTGTGACTTCTGTGTGTGTTTGTTTGGCTGTCTGCCTGTGTGTGTGGCTGTCTGCCTGTGTGGCTGTCTCTATGTGTGGCTGTCTGCCTGTGTGTGTGTGGCTGTCTGCCTGTGTGTGTGTGTGTGTGTGTGTGTGTGTGGCTGTCTGCCTGTGTGTGTATGTGTGTGGCTGCCTGTGTGTGTGTGGCTGCCTGCATGTAAGTATGTGTGTGTAAGACAATGTGTGGCTGTGTGTGTGTGTGGCTGTCTGCCTGTAATTGTGTGTGAGTGTGTTTACCTGTAACTGTGTATGTGTGTTACTGCCTGTACCTGTGTGTTTCTGTCTGATCCTGTGTATGTGACTATCTGCCTGCGACTATGTGCATGTGGTGGATTTGACCGTGTATATGTATAACTGTGTGCATCTGACTGTGTGCACTTAACTCTGCAAAAAATATACATCTGCATTCACACACAGGCCTAAATGCATGTTTTTATCTGAATTAAATAACCATTACACACAGCCAATAAACCCAGCACAAATATCACATACAACCAATAGATGCATATCACACACTGTTAATAGACCCATTACAAATATCACACACAGCCAACACATAGCATACATATCACACACAGTCATCACACCTGTCACATACACAGACAACACAAACATTACATCATACATGGAAGACCGCGGGGGGGTTGGGGGGAGGCTCTGTGAAGATTTTTCGCACAGGGCGCCTAAAGGCCTAAGGCCGGCCCTGGACATAGGCAGAATTTTGGGGATGCTGTGTATGCTCAAGTCAGATATCAGGGTATGCCAATGACTCCCCAATGACACAGCTGGAGGTAGATTAACCCCTTTCGGCAGCAGAATGGTTAAACTGATAACCACTTCAGTAAAGTGGTCATGGTGCTTGTAGTAATCCTACACTAACCTACACTAATGTTAACCATTAACCTCTATTCTATGGCTGCTAAACATATGGAGACTATGAATTTGTCCCATGGGAGGGCGCTTAAATCAGGGGCTCTGCAGCTCTTTGATAGTGCACTGGACAGGGATCCTGTCACACTGTTAGATTCTCCCTGTGGCCTTCTGGTTAGTTAGTGCAGGCACACACAGTCTCTATGGCCAGCCTCATCACATGGAAGCCAGCCTAATGCCAATGCCAGGAAATTGGTTCTAATTTTCCTACCCCTGGCACCACAGCTAGACCTGAGAGAGTGATAAAAGACAAACTGGGACTTAATGTGGTTTTTCTGGGAAAATCCCAGATATGTAATAATTGTGGTTTCAGTGCCTGCAAATTGTTACAGGTATGTTCACTATGTTTTAAGGCACATGCCATGACGATTTGCCCCAATAAAAT